GAGAGCCAGAGTAGAAAGTGACGACCTCCAGGATGAACCAACCGACTGTGACACACACACCTCAGATCTGATTGATATGCAGGCGCCAATGAATCAGGAGCTGTCAGTGGGACTGTGTCACGTGGACTGGTGATGAGCAAAACAGTAAGTAGTCAGTGAGTGAGTGACGTCGTCCTAGCTGGCTAGCTCAGTCGACTGACTTGTTGCACTTGATGAGTGAAGTTGCATTGATTCCATTCAACAGACCGACGACCGGTGGGGACAGCAGACACCGTTGACAGACACATGGCCGGCCGGCCGGCCAGACAGGCAAGTAGACTGACTGACTGACTGTCAAGCACTAAAAGCCTCACGAGCCTGCCAGGATTCGAACCTGCAATCTCCTGATCCGTAGTCAGGCGCGTTATCCATTGCGCCACAGGCCCACGCCACGCCATGCACATCCCATCACATCTCAAACTCAATACACCCACCCTATCAACAACACAGCCCTAGTCACTCACAATCACACTCACACACACGCCCCCGCGCGCGCGCATTCATGCATACTTTTGACCATCATTTCACCCTCGGATATTGATATCGTGATTTTAATAATGGAAGTCTCTTCTCGCCTATGTTTATCCGCGCGATGTATATCTCTGCAGTGTTCCTTTCTCTATTTGAATATTTTACCCAGTGGATCTGTTAGTAGGAAATCAGATAAGGAGTTGCAGTCGTTGATCACTCTGCGAGTGAATCTAATCTACAAACGTATTTTATTCGACCTCTGTGTGAGCACCTTCTTCATGTGTTCTCGTAAACTTATCGTAGAGCGAGAGAAGAGTTTCGAAATATCGATCCCTAAATTACCCTAGGATTTATGGTAATCCAAAATTAAATCACCTTTCCTCCTTCGGTATGATAATGCGAAGATATTCAAATGCTCCATCCTCTTAGCATAAGGAAGGTGTGAGATACCACAAACTAATTTCGTTTCTACCCTCTATACTCTTTTCAGGATATGTGCCTCCTTTTTGAAGCATGGAGTCGCCGCTTTTATACAGTACTCTAGATGAGATCTGGCATGTGTTGCGTCGGTGGCACAGTGGTTAGGACTCTCGCCGACCATGCACATGGTCCGAGGTTCGAGCCCCTGCCGGCGCACACCCGATATCTATGGTCGGCCTGTGAAATTTGGTCTACCGATATCCATGCTGAAAATGCCATACTTGTACTGAAAATACGGTGTGGCATCAAGTTGTAACCAAAATAAAAATAAATAAATAAACATACCGTCGTCTAATCGTTTGAAAGCCCTTCGAAGTTCCCATAGCATTCGAAGAGCCTTAGCTGCGGCTCCACTCCAATTTGCTGTTGTTTTTAATTCATGGCTAACAATAATTCCTAAGTCCTTTTGTCCCTTAACATCTGGCAGTTCTGTGTTCCCCAAGGAGTACGGCGTGTAAGACTTCTGACCTAGGTGCAGTACCACGCTTTTCTTGGAATTAATTTTCAGACTCCAAAGGTTAGCCCATTCGGCTAATTTATCTAGATCATTTAGTAGTACCAACTTATCATTGTTACTATTTACGGTTGGCCATATCTTAATATCGTCCTCAAATAATAAGGAAGATGAGGTAAGAGTTATCGGCACTTCATCTACGTATAATAGGAATAACAGGAGGCCAAGTACAGTTCCCTGAGGTACTCCACTTAGTAATGCTTTACACCCTGACAGTATACCATTAACTCTTACCTTCTGCCTCCTATCCATCAGGTAGTCGCTAAACCACTCACATAAGCGTTGGTCTAATCCAAAATGTTTAAGTTTACTAAGAGGACCTAAATGGGATACCTTATCGAATGCTTTACTAAGATCGATAAATACAACGTCCAGTAGATGGTTTTTATCCCTGTCCTCGACCCAATCTTCCCTAGCTAACAGTAAGTTTGTCAAGCAGAATCGTCCTGGTCGGAATCCATGCTGTTCCACTGCCAGTAAGCCATGTTTTTTCATATGAGCTAAGAGCTGATCCCTTCTGAGTTTTTCTAACACCTTCGCTATAATGCAGGTCAGACTTACCGGCCTGTGGTTATATACCAATTGCCTGTCCCCCTCTTTGAATATAGGGCTTATAATGGCATCCTTCCAGTCTCTGGGTAGCCTAGTCTGAGTCAGAGACATCTGAAAAATCTCCGTAAGTGGAATGTATATGATATCCGCCAAGGAGATTAGTAATCTACGGTGAAGCCCTTCTGGTCCAGGTGATTTACCTGGCTTCAACTTAGACAGTAGTTTCAGAACCAGTGCATCATCTACCACAATTGGATGCATTTTAGGGGCTACATCAGTTACCTCGCTACACCCCTGAGTGGTACGATTAGGCGAGAAAACATCACAGAAGTATTCGGAAAGCTTCTCAGCTTTTGTTTCGTCCGACTCGGCAGTCTCTCCTATGTTACTAATGAGGGACGGTAAGCCACTGCTAGTTTGAGTCCTGCGTTTGATATACGAGTACAGTCTTTTTGGATAATGCACACAATCCAGTACTGACTGTCTCTCATACTCTATACGACTTTTGTCAATCTCATACTTGCAAAGGTTTCGAACTTTGCAGTATTCTATCCAAAACTCATCCTCACCAGCCACAGCCATCCGGTCCCATAAGTTCTGTCGTTTTCTTAGTAACCTCCTTATTTCATTACTAATTCAAGGTGGTTTATGCGATAGCTTTTGAGGCATAGACCAAGGTACAAAGGGTGCAGTGAAGCAATCAAGTACATTCCTAAATCCCATCCAAGCCTCCTCGACAGTCTGGTGTCTATCAGCTAGGGTTGCTGCATTTCGAATTGCAGGTATATTCGCTTTCGAAACGTTTCGACGAACCGCTGTTGACCTATGTATGACAGCCTAAATCCTAAACATAAAAGTGATAACGATACGGTCACTATTGCCTAGCGGCGCCAGGCACCTAATATCACTGACACCCTCCTTCTGGTGTGTAAGCTCCAAGTCTAGAGTGAAAAGATCATGTTCAGGATGTTATCGTGTTGGTGCATCTATATGCTGCACTAGTGCGCATTCAAGTACTGTCAGTAGGAGTTCCCTGTTAAACAAGTGTACGAAGTAGTTGATGTTAATTCCTCCCAATTAATATGTGGGGCATTAAAGTCACCTACTATTAGACACCTATTCCTACTACTCCACGTCCTGAGGTGATTTAGAACGGAATCGTCAGCTTGGCTGGTAGGACTTCTATAAATAACCCCAATTGTCACAGTGCCCTTGTTCAAGTTAATGACGCAGCTTGCGGCTTCATAGATGCCGCTGTCATGAGCTTCCAACAACGTCGATCTAATTCCCATGTCATCTTGGATGTATAGAGCAACTCCCCCACCTTTCCGACTACTTACTCTGTCTGCTCTAATACAGATGTACCCAGGTATGAGTGGAGCTAAGTCTATACCCATTAACAACCATGTTTCGGTGATCGCAATCACATCCGGGTGTAGTTTCTCAGACAACACTCCTAGTTCAGGAAGCTTATTCCTAAGACTGCAAGCGTTTGTTTAGCATACTGAGAGGCCTACGTGTTCACTCGACTTATGAACAGAGGTCTGGGTAACATAGGTTTCCGAGACCTCACTACCCGAAAACCCAAGAGTTTGAGGTCTTTTTCACCTTTTTCTAATCGGGTCTTTAATTCAGCCACGGCTTCTCTTCTCCTAATTCTATCTTCCAGAGGCCAGTCTAGCCTAATTCTCCTTGTATTCTTAATCTTGAATGCGTTGTTGAGAATAATAGTATTCTCCATCTCGTTCCCCAGTACTACCTTCAGCAGTCGTGGGGAACTTTCCGTTGTATCGGCGATTCGTTAACCGATTCTGATGACTTTCCTTATGTGAACTCCATTTGATTTTTCTGGAAGTATTTTACGGATGATGGAACTAACTATCTCGAGATCATCAGCATGTCGAGCAGCTGGATCTACCTTCTTCGATTCCTCCAAATTCCAAATTACGATACTGTAACTTGAGTCTGAAGGTTTAACAACCTTATTAGTGTTTACGGCCGTTGAGACCTTATCACTAACCACAGTACTTTTCTCTTTCCTGTGATTCTTAAGCTTCCTATTCTTCGGCACTAACCAGGTGGAATCAGTTAGTTCCACTTTGCTCTCGCCGCAGTTGGAAGCCGTACGTCCACCAGACACGCAACGCTTCGTCATTGTAGTATCACCCTACTGTCTTACAATGTTGGCACTGTTTACCCTCCTAGGTTTTCGGGGCTTTTTGTGTGCTGTTGCAGACTGCTGGGCACACTTTACCTCTGTTGCTTCTTTCGAAGCTTAGGGATGTGGTTCTGTCTCAATCTTATGACTAAGGCCAGAATCCTTGCTTCTAACATCTGTACTAGATGCTGGCTTTTTCCCCTCATATGGAACAGCCTGCCCCTAGATGTCAGAACTTGCATCTCGGTCATAAGTTCCAAACGCTCTCTGTACAGACTGTTTCCTTCGACTGATGAAAAAATATTTACTTCTGGAACGAATCAATTTTTTAGAATAGTATATTAACTAAATAAGGCGTAAAACTTCCCTGTACACGATAAACAGACTAGTCCTATTCGGGTCCACAAAATGTTTTCCACCTCTGGTACTTTGCTGCTCGACTCTTCTTTTCTATTTGCCTTGTAGTGGAAGTTGCACAGATTTACAGTAAGACTGGAGTTGAACAGGAATTCAAGTCACTTACTTATATATCAATCTTCAAGGTTTTCGCTGGGGATGACACAGTATCCTTGAAATATCAGCTGTCACTATAACAGGACTCTGTACAGCATCCTATACAATAAGCAGTATCCATGATCTACAATAGTTTTCAACGTCTTAATCAACTCTCTTGTCAAGGAACTTAACTCTAAGTTCCCATAATATGCGAAGACGCTCCGAACCGATAATCACTATGACTGCTTCTCGACTTTAACTCCAAAATAGCAGAATTTGTAAGAAAAAAGTTGTATTGTTTGGCAATTAAAATCAAGATCAGTACAAAGTATGTTAACAAATGTTTTACAAGGAAAGTACTGTATTTTTATTCGTCCATCCCTTTTTCTTCCATCATGCCAATAACCTTGAACTGAACTGCCAACGCGGGAACCTGGGCCGGGAACCGGGACTAGGCTAAAACGGAAAGCAAGACACAAAAGCCCAACATACAACAAGCATGCTACATCAAACCTGTACACCTCCCCGTGTGTAGGACCTTCCTAAGTGATCGAAACTTTCCTTCGCACTCTCTGTCGACAGTACCACCAGTGATCTGGTCCTCGGGGTGTTGGTTGCTTCGTGTCACTCGCGCACAATCCCCCTCCCAGGCGTATCCAATCGTGTACAATGACTCTAACACCACTCGATTCGCTTACAGTTGTAGAAGACTAGGAACGACTTCAGAAGTACTTACAATAACATTACAAGATGATTCACACAATGCGACAACTATAAAATTAACCAGCAATTAGATAAATTGGAACCAACTTTATTACTTAACACAGATATATGTGTACAATCAATACATCAAATGTTGTGGATTCTGCCTTGACGAGCTACCCTTGAAGAATTGTAGGACTTACAGCAGTACGCCTACAACCCTTCTCAGGTTGATTCCCTAAGTTGGAAAAGCGTCGGATTGTCCAATCTCTGATCTGTCCTCTAACACCTCAAACAATCATAATCTTCGAATATCTCGCATCAACGTGTCATATTTTGTCCAAACTTCCACTGTCCTCACCAAACCCATCATTACTGCATATTACTCATAGAGGTCATTTACCTGCAGAAGTCTTATCCGTCACTGCATCCTCTGTTCCGATAAAACACGATCTCAACAATTCTACAGTGTCTAAATCGCATGTCTGCTTTTGATCAAGCACGTATTCAGTATTACTGATGCTCTCCAACCACGTATCATACTTCATATTATTCCTCAATATCCGTGTACCGACGATTTTGTCAACTTCCAGCTTTCTAAATCGCCCCATTTTTAAATCATCACCCCGAAACACCACAGCGTAGTTTTTCATGATTATAGCTCCATCTATCAGCACCATAGGCCCCACTACCACACGGAAAGCACCCTCCCTCGGTACTATTGTTTGCTCGTCCAAGCGGTAATTAATACCCTCATATTGGGCCATACTACTCATCGACCTCTCACGGCGCCCATACAACTCAATATCATCAACATGATAGACATCATTCAAATTGCATCCAACAGCAAATCCGTAAGTGGACGTATAAAGTTCAGGTCGATTAATGCCCATCAACCTCTTCTTCATCACTTCTTTAACTCGATAATTGCAATCTCCAATTACAAGCCAACTGCACGACACCGTCAGACTAACACTAGGTCCGAACAACAACTCCGCCCAAGGTAATAAACCACGACATCTAACAAACATCGCTGCATCCGGAGTGCCCAATTCAATTCCTCTCTCCCCCTTATTATCCAGATTGATCTCCCACTTATCCACGGAGGAACTCATAGCTGTTATTGCTTTTGACACCATACTTCTTACATCTAGCACATCTATTACTATTGCTAGATTAGGCTGTTTAACACCGGAGGATCCATTCGCATAATAATCAGTGTATTCAAGCAAATTCATCTGCACCAGTACTCCGTATCTCAGTCCTGGGTCACCATCATCCTTTATGACCTTATCATCCAGTCCAGTCATTAAGCCCACTTTCATACCCCTTCGCTGTTCAGTTGCCATGCATATCATTCCCAACATACTCCTATTGTATTTCAACTGTTCATAATTGAGACCCGGAGTAACAATCTGTTTTGCCCATTGACCGTTGATTAAGGCAGGGTTGAACTCACACTCAGTATCACACTCTTCAGTATCTATGACTATGTCCCCATCTTCTCTATCTCCCCCTACCTCTAGGACATGGTACTCCAACACGGTACTGGTATCACTGCACAAATCCAGCACCAACGTACTATACCCAGAAGCGACGTATGAGTATTTTATTTTACAGCGTGTGTTCTCTGCACTCCACAAGCCCAATACTAATGATTCATACTCCTTTGAAGTCTTCTTCCCTTGCTGTAACACACTTACCACCCTTCGATGCATGCGGGATAGCTTGTACGGGTCTTTCTTCAAGTCCACACCATGCATAAAATCAAGATAATCGTTCAAACTGATCCGCCACACTATCGTTTTCATGCGTCGCCGGTAAAACTTCGTTACCCAATTACACGGTAACTCATTGGTGTTTAACAAACCTGTCCAACCAACAACATTTTGAGCCAGATCTTGCAATACTTTGTCCTTGAAAATACTTAGCAACACCAGTCCAACATCAAACGATCTGCCCAAAAATCCAACTCGACCAATGCAATCAACCAACTTCCACGTGGTCTCCCTTTGTCTAATTATGGTACTACCTAACAACTTAGCGGCTAACACCTCCGCTGGGCCGGCACCACTTAGTATCTCCAGACTCACGCCCTTCAAAGCAATCCGCCTATCAAACTCACAACCCCATGTTACCTCCACCACAACGTTGTTCACATCCTTCTCCACAGGTTCACCATCCACCATCTCCCAGCTTGAATAATACCGCTCTACAGTTATATTAGGCACTATAACTATCCCCTGTCTAATAGTGCTGCCAACATCATTCTTCTCTTGTACAGTCAGACCAAAATAATCCAAATAATGAGCTTTCAACCGATGCTGGGTGCTATCAATGTTACCATTCAAACTGTGCATTAATTTATTCCAATTGGACTGTAAGGCCTTACTATAACTGGACTCTCTATAAAGATGCTGCTTATCTAGTATACCAACGAATACTTCCTTGCTAGAATCACAACCTCGGTAGAAATCACACATATACTCAGGCCTGCACAATCCATTTTCCACCACCTGTCTTATGACACCATTTTCTAAGTTCACCTTCAAACTTTTCTCTAGATATTCCAAGTTTTTAAGTCTACTGTCCAAATCATGTACTTCTTCAACATCCACTAATATCAGATCACACAATCTTTGAACACTATACATTCTCAACTCCCTCAGGCAATAGGAGGCCGGCCGAAGCATAACTTTATTATCACGCCGTGGCACTATCGCCCCACACATGCGGCACACGCCCATGTCCCAATCCTCAAACAAACGATAAACCCTGTTGATGGTATCGTTCCTATGCCAGGTTTTAAGGGCATGAAAAACGTTTATAATATCAGCTGGAACAGGATCAACCACCTGTCTGTTCTTGTCTGCCACTTCCGACATCATTTGCTTGACATTTGAGGCCTGAACAAAGCCTTTATCTATTTGCTCTCTTAACCAACGCTTCGAGCGACAGTAGCCATAAGATTGAAGAACAATCGCTTCATTGACTTTAGAACCCAACACTTTCACTTCCGGCGAAACATTGACATCAAGCTTATCATGCTGAACATCATACACATCATCACACATAACAGGCAACTCAACATCACTTACTTTTCTGTCTGCTTCCAAAATGCCAGGTCCCTTCTTTGGCCCAGGCATCATTCAACGTCACCAAAAAGATCCAAATTGCGTTGCGATTATCCCTGTTTACAGATGCTGTCGCAAGACCAAGTAAGTACTCTCCAAAAAGGTTGCAGAAGGCGCCTCGAAGATCGAAGAAAAGAATAAGAAAACAGTCAAGTAATTTGACAATAAGTTCGTATTATCTCCGAAGACTCCCGAACCAACAATTACTGCGCACAATTAAGACCTTATTTTCCAAAACACAAAGGATCTTAATAAATTGTATTGTTCGGCAGTTGAAATCAATACCCTGTACAAAGTCTACAACACAAATGTTTTATAAGGAATGAACTGTACATTAATTCGTATTCTTTCGTCTTCTTCCAGCTTGAACAAGACCGAACCATGCGCACATTTGAATTGCCCGCTAAAGGTCATCCGATGCAATAAACAATCTTTCAGTTTTCAAGGTAATTTACACCGTCACACCAATGCAAGTCAGGTGGAAATGACTGACCAGCTCATGATATGTCCAGTGACACTGGAATCCAACTTCACCACATCTCACTCACCAGTAAACATATTCCAATGCATCCTCTCCACCTGGAAGGAAATCATACTCACAAGCAGAGGGATACGCACGCATGCATACACACACACATACACAGAGGGAGATTGAGAGTGAGCGAGTTGCAAATTCCAGCTAGCATTGAGTTCGAGGTGAACTGCATATATTTTGAGGGAGATTTCAGCCAGACTTGAGAAACTTTGGGTAAGACTGGAGATGATTATGTACTGTCCCACGTTCTGCAATCCGCCCGAGTATTTTGCCCCGAAAATTCTGCAGGGCATCCGAAGATAATGCTAGCTAGCTAGCTAGCTAGGATCAGTGCGTAGACGCAATGATTTGGAGAGCCAGAGTAGAAAGTGACGACCTCCAGGATGAACCAACCGACTGTGACACACCTCAGATCTGATTGATATGCAGGCGCCAATGAATCAGGAGCTGTCAGTGGGACTGTGTCACGTGGACTGGTGATGAGCAAAGCAGTAAGTAGTCAGTGAGTGAGTGAGTGACGTCGTCCTAGCTGGCTAGCTCAGTCGACTGACTTGTTGCACTTGATGAGTGAAGTTGCATTGATTCAATTCAACAGACCGACGACCGGTGGGGACAGCAGACACCGTTGACAGACACATGGCCGGCCGGCCGGCCAGACAGGCAAGTAGACTGACTGACTGACTGTCAAGCACTAAAAGCCTCACGAGCCTGCCAGGATTCGAACCTGGAATCTCCTGATCCGTAGTCAGGCGCGTTATCCATTGCGCCACAAGCCCACGCCATCCACATCCCATCACATCTCAGACTCAATACACCCACCCTAACAACAACACAGCCCTACTCACTCACAATCACACTCACACACACACACGCACGCACGCCCGCACGCGCGCGCGCATTCATGCACACACCTCACCACCAATTCACCATCACATCACATCACACCACATCACATAAACAAACACAACACTCTCACACAATCGAGTAACTCTTCAAAATTAACCTTATGTTAGCATTTTGTAGGTGTCTCACTGCCTGAGTTCCTCGCGTTTTCGCCTATTTAATGTCTACGAAAGTTACGGAATTTTTGGATCCTTCTTTTCACATGTCGAATCTTGTCTATTTTTGTTACGGACAGTTGTATACAATGGACCTTGTCAATTCTTTCTCTAATGTCTTCATTTTATCTGACCAATATTCTGGGCATCTTGAAAATTTAGAAAAATTTTGCGCGCAATCGACACAGAATCTTTACTCCCCAATGTTCCAGTTCAAGAGATTGTTGATTTCGTTTGTGATTATAGCACAATTGTACTTTTCATTAAGTACACGTGTTCAACATAGTGTTGGGTTTCCTGCTTAGTCACGGCATAACCACAGTGCACGGACTGTCTGATCTTGTGCATATGGGATTCGAAGGGAAATGCACTAAATTCTTCTAGTCGCCCTTGCAGCTCGACGTCATCCGCTATATGTATTTCAGAGAATGTATATTGTAAACAATATGTGCATTTCCGAAACAATTCTCATATTGCAGTAAGAAATTACTTAAATCTGTCCAAGCAGCATCCATAAACACTCGGTTGTACTTGGTACTCGAAATTAAGTCTACTGCCAGGGATAATCTCCTGAAATTAGCGTACAGGTGGCATGGCAGAGTGTTCCTGACTAGGACGGGTCCCAAATATAGTAGGAAAAGTCCACACTCAGTTGCTTTCCATTGGCTAAGGTCATCTAACGACCGACTTTTCCTCTGAAAATCAGAAGGAATGTGTTTCCTACTTACTTGCAGTTCGTTATTGATATCTGCAATAACATTACTGTCCATTTGCTTCTCTCGCCGTGCTGCAAGACCCTGCCAAAGGAACACCAAATTCTTAACAACACCAAGGTATATTAGATGCATTGGCTCCAAGGGAAGCGACTTAACCATGTCAAGTGGCAATTCCCCAAGATAGGTTCTGCCCCGATGGTGACGTGCTTGAACTTAACCACGGAATGTCCTGTCATTTCTAAGGGTATGGTTCCCATTAGGAAATGTCATCCTACCCTCCAAACGACAACCGATTACTTCACAAACCTGTTTTTCCATTGTGACCGACAGTTTGTTTCACATTAGAACGAGCAGGCGTGTTACATATAAATGCTAGAACACTGACAGTCACACTCCTACCCCACCTGTCAACATATAGACCGTTTTTATAAAGATCTCCCAATTCAACTAATAGGTCCCTAGAAACCTCATTGAAGTTGTTGGGTTTTCTAAAACCACCATGTATGACAATTAAGAAAACGTCACTGACGTATGGAGTTGTGATACGACCTAGGAATGACCATAATTGCTGCGAAGAACTGTTCGATATAGATAAACTGTCATAGTTGACTTGCAAGCCAATATATTGAAAAGTACCGTAGTCAACCCAACTATCTAGATAACGCTGCAGATTTTCCTTCAGTCTAATGTGATAGGAAACACCTTGTCCAAGAAATTTAGGTACACACATGCCGCTGTCTTTTAGCGAACCTCTTATGGTTGTTGGTACATGTGGATTAAATTTACGCATACAGTCCAAGATATTTTGCGCAACAGACCCTAATACATTGTTCCTAAGGAACAATTCCACAATTGAATTTCTGACCAACTCTTTATGTGTCATCTTTCCAGGAACAACCTGAAGTTCTATTAAAATCATTTATTACATAATAATTGATGTTACGGTTCTCTTCAATTTGTGAAACAACAGTGACGGTCTCACTAGTACTAGGTATATGCACTGTTCCCTGTACAGTTGAACTTGAAGGCAAAGGTACTGTTTTATTGATTGCCACTTCTTCTCTAGATGCGCAGTAACGTTTCCAGAAGTCTCAGTCACTAAATGCTGCATCACGTAACCGTTTTTGACGGCGATAAAATCTGGAGTAGCTGTATCCAAGGCATTCATGCAGTCCACCAGAAGATATATTTCTCTTACGACTTGTTGCAGAGTGTTGAATACCCGTTGCTAACACGTTATCTGAGTTGTTTTCCTTATAATAGAAATGGACAAATAGTATACACCGAAAATCTAACTCACCTGCATGATTTATAAATCCTGTAAGAATGGTCTCTCCATATGTAAGGAGTACCGCTTATATACCTGTGTGCAAACATCCGGGTTTTTTTTAATATGAAAAGGGATGATAGGTGAACTGTAATCACAACTGTTAACATTTTCCTTGCAGCAAGTATATGTTTTCGTCTGTGAATCAACACAATCACTCCCCCTCTGGTTTCCTTTTGATACCCAAGGTTTTAATATATGACCTCGTAAACAGTGCTCAGCAATCGAAACAATTCACATTCTACTTATGACAAGTACCCATTTTCATCTGTAGGATTTCAGTCCCCCCACCCTCCGTTTTGTGTTTCATATTTCGTTGTATTTCATTCATGATAAGTATATGTTTTCATCTGTTGTAGTTAACCCATTTTTGTTCTAATAATTTTGGACTTTTCAATCGTGGGCCTGTCATAAGTGAACCCTTATCATTTATTCTTACACATATATCATGACAACTGCATTCATTCGACTGTTTAAAGTGCATTAAACATGACCCAGTATGTTCTCTCAAAATTGTTTCGGTTTTCCGTATTTTTCACCTCATTTTTACTGAGCTGTTATCAAATTTCGAAACGTTGCACTAACAAAAAATTTTCTTTCCCATAGCTGGTAGAATAAATATTAGATACAATAAAACCTACCTGGCTTATAATTTTTTCTTTTTCATTTGTGACCTCGACGTCAACTGAACTGTAATCGCATTCGTTGACGTTGCACAAACGAAATACATGACATTTATAAAATTATATTGCCGAACGAAACGTTGGAATTAATCATTTCAATTTCGCTGAGATTTTACAAATATAATTTTATAAATGTCTACTTCTCACTCAGCGTTCAATTATTTTGCAACTATCCAGTCAAATCTTGATCACAGTTCATATGAAATACATTATTCATTGTAAACTTCATTCAATAATTCTTACTATCGACAAATAGATAGAATAGCCATGGGTGGTTCACCATTAGACCCAATATTAGCTGACTTCTTTCTTGCAAAACTTGAAAACGGGAAATTGAAGGACATCATCAAGCAGTTTGATATGTATTACCGACATGTCGATGATACATTTATCTTAGCTGATGGGAATGTTAACATAGACGAATTGTTGCTGAAATTCAACAACATCCACCCTTCGCTTACCTTTACTTGTGAAGAGGAGCAGGAGAATAAACTACATTTTCTGGATGTCTGGCTAAGTAGGAGAGAAGATGGGTCACTTGGGAGAAGCGTGTATAGAAAAAGCACACTCATAGGGCAATACACGCACTTCCTTAGTTACGTGCCCATTAAATATAAAAGGAATGTTGTTAAATGTCTTGCGAGCAGAGCAAGAAACATATGTACGGATGATCTCTTACAAAAGGAATTTGAATATATTCACGATTCCTTGACGGAGATGGGCTATCCGAGTAGTTTCATAAAGAAACATATGAAGAAATCAGGGAAAAATCCTGAGACTCTGACTGCACGTAAGAAACCTCTATTTATTAAGTTACAATTTAATGGTGACTTGTCTGTCAAGTACAATTTTACTCCAAAGACTTTCAAGGAGTATACGAAGAACATTTTACGTAGCACACCTATGTTTGTCATTCTCTAGTCGACGAATGATTGGGACGCAAACGAAAGATAAGCTTGATAGTTTTGCCAAATCTATGTGCATTTATCAATTCAACTGCACCTGCGGTGACAGTTATGTTGGGCGTACTACTAGACAGCTTAGCCAACGTGTGACTATTGAACATCTCCCGTCGTGGTTTGGCAAAGGGCAGACAAAAA